GTTTCAAAATTTTAGGTTGGAAGCCATCTTGCGTGGCGTTGGGCTTTTTGGCTTGAGGCAATCTTGATGGTTCCATTTGTTATTTTAGGATTTGTTATGAAACCACTGCAGTTGAAAGGTTTGTTATTTCTCCGTACACTAGAATTTAAGCTTATGCTGCTGTTTGCTTTCACTTATTTTCTTCCTTTTCTCCTTTGATTATCAGGATTTGCACCTGCTGGATCCAAAAAGGCGGCTTCTGTTGAGACAGTTGCTCCTGATGCGTTAGGTTTGCATAATTTAACGCCCCTTTAAATACTTTTATTTGTTACTTGGTATACCAAATTTTCGAGCATTTATATGTGTTGAAAATAAGTGAAGGTCATATTTTTTTTTATTTTTCCTTCGATCTATATAATGAGTTGGTGTGCATTGTCTTGCAGATTCACAGATTTTAGTTACTGATGACAGTGAGGAGAAAAATGATAATTTGGGCGAAGCTTCCAAGTAAGTTTAAACCTTCCTCTGCTTAGAATTTTAGTTTGGCACTTGACTTGAGTATGTCTTGCTCAGTAGAATTGGAATGCCATTATTAAATCGATAAGATAAAAGCAACCATATAACAGGAGGGTCATGGAAGTAAAGACTCTTGATGCCAGATGCAGAAGAGATGCTAATATCTTCCTGGTTCAGATATATGAACTGCATGAAAAGATGAATGGTTATGATTTACTTGAAAATTAGAGACAAAAGCTGCAACGTTTTCCTAAATAGACGTTGAATACTATCTGTGATGGAAGTAAAGACTCTAAAATATCTGATGTTTAATACTACGTACTTTATACGAGAGTAATAACTTTTATTTGTAATGCAAGTCCTGGTTTTATAAATCACAATCTTAAACACCCCATCTTTTGAAATGATATGGAGTATTTGTCTTCTGATATACGACATATTTCATACTTCATAGCTCATATAATTATCTCGCATTTTAATCCTTTTTTTTAATTATTATTTCCTTCAATATTGAACATACAGATCAGGGAATGTATTTACAAGATTTTTAAGTGACATGAAGGGGCTTCTTTCTGAGAAGGTTTATGTTGTCAATGTTCTAGGTACTTCTATATCCTTCTGTAGTGATAATTGTATCATGACCCCATGTATTTTTATTTTTAATTTGTTGACAGAATCACCCCATATTGTTTGATGACCTTAGACCCTATATTGCTTGTGAAGAGTAATTTTCTCTCTCAGTACTCCTCTACTCCCTCTGTTTCAAAACAATGTACTGTATATTTTGATATGTGGTCAATCATTGTCAATGTTGGGCATTAATTGTATGTCATTATTGCAAAAATAACATAACACAATATACTGTTAATTCAAGAATCACTATGAAATCATTATATAACCCATCATATCATATACCTATAAATTAGTGGCTAACATTAGAATGGGTTGACCCCTGAAATCAAATGTTTTCTATTATTTTCAAACGGTCCTTTTTATCCTAGTCGTAACTCGTAATATGGTCCTGAAATCAAATGTTTTCTATTATAAGGATTACATATAATATGGTTTTAAGCATGAAACTTATGACAATCATATGTCATTCAATGATGACAATTGTTTAGTAATTTTACTTTGGGCGATGTATTCAATTATTCATTGCCTGAACATAGCCCTAGGGCTACTTTTGAAAATTTCCTGTTTTGACATAAAAATAGTCCCTGATGCTTTGAATGTCTGTATTGATTTCTCCAGGTTATATATCTTACAACTTTGTTTTGGGTGCGTACTCATACTGGGGACCAAAGGCTGGTTACAATATTTACAACATGGTAAGTTCTCATTTAGTTCATGATACCAACTTAAGTCCCTGAGCTATCAGCTCTGAAACTTGTATTCAATGAGATGTAACTTGTGGCAATGTGCTAGTAATAATAATGCATTTAGTCTAAGGTCTAATTAACTCAAAGTTATGGGTGACTTTGATAGGCTAATGCAGATATGGTCTTTGGCGGGATTACAGTTGGTTGTGGATTGGCTGGAACTATAGGTGGAGGTTTCGTTCTTGATTACATTAACTCCACACTTTCCAATGCTTTTAAGGTAGATAATTACTTGTTTTTTTTTTTTTTTTTTTTTTTTTTTTTTTTTTTTTTTGTAACAGACTCACAGCACTTCATGCGAGTCATTGTCAAAGATCCTTTTTCATCATTTATACTGATTGTTGATTTCCTTCGGAAAATGTGCAGCTTCTCTCTGCTTCAACTTTTCTTGGAGCTGTGTTTTGCTTTAGTGCTTTCTGTTTCAAGAAAGAGATATATTTCCTCATTTTCTTCGCAATTGGTGAACTGCTTGTCTTTGCAACTCAGGTATAAGAAATATTATATATTCAATTGTATCCTGGTGGTTTATTTGCTATCATGGCATTCGTATTAAAGTAATTTGACAGAAAGAGAACAAAAATATAACAGAATCATGAATCAATTATATTATCTTTCTCCCTCTTGCAGGCCCCTGTAAATTATGTATGCCTGCACTCTGTTAAGCCCAGTCTACGACCACTTTCTATGGCCATGTCTACGGTTTCAATTCATGTGTTTGGTGATGTACCATCCTCACCCCTTGTTGGTGTTCTCCAGGTACGTTTGCACTTCATTTCTTTCCCGTGTGTTCTATGTGCTCCTTATTTTCCATTTGAAGGCTTCATATTATACTCTTTGTTTTTATGATCATGGCAGGTCAACAAAGTGGTTCACATCTTTTATTAGAATTGTGGTATTCTAGGATGAAAGAGCATACATATTACAGATAATTTATACCATTTTCATGCCTCCACTGAAATGGTTCATACATGCTGCAGGATCATATTCATAATTGGAGGAAGACAGCTCTAAGTTTGACTTCTATTTTGTTTCTAGCAGCTGCAATATGGTTTATAGGTAAGAATATTGTCTGCAATCTGCATTCTTTTTTTTACCTTTGATTTTGGAGCTCAACCTTCCCTCCTGCCACTTGTCTCTGAAGAAAAAGGAAAGAGTATATTGTCTTTACGACCTTTGATTTTGAAGCTTAAACTTTCCTCTACTGCACAAAATGTGGAAAACCTTTGTCTTTTTTCCGAGTCTATTAAAGACTAACACTTCTGAATTGGTTCAGTGAGGATCATGCATCTCCTCTAGGATCACAACTCCTCTGGAACGCTAGACTTAGTACTCCCTGCAGCTTGACTTGACAGCAAGTATTATGTCTCTACTAGGTTATCTGGAATTAAAACTCCCAAATGAGTCTGTTGGGTCAGTTGTAGGATGGGTTTATTTTCGGTTAGGTGTAAGTCTGTCTTAAAGTGGCTTTTGGGTAAAATCAATCTTCAGTTGGGTTATTTCAGGTTTTGAGTTGGAAAAAAAAAAGAAAAAAATTGTTCTAATCCTGGAATTCTTATCTCTTAAAGAATGCCACTCTTGAGCCTTGACATTATAACCTGTAAGGTGGTAAACCTTAGCTCTTATTGGCTTAATTAGTTAAAATCTGCAATATATAATGGTTGTATAAATCTAGTGTACCACTTCATGCTATAAAAAACTTGCTTAGTTACACTAGTTTGGCCCCATTCACTTCATGCTATAAAAAACTTGCTTAGTTACACTAGTATGGCCCCATTCACTTCACCTTATTTTTGCTGAAGTTAAATTATTTTTAATGAACTGAAATTATTTTTGCTGAATTAAAATTATTTTTACTGATTCTCTTTTATATTTCTTCTTTAAAGTTACTGATTTTTACTGAACTGAAATTATTTTTGTTGAACTGAAATTATTTTTACTTAACTGAAATTATTTTTACTTAACTGAAATTATTTTTACTGAATATTATTATTTTAAGGTGAAGTGAATAGGGCCATATGTGTTGCTTACTGTGAAATTTACTAATTTATGTTACCGTTGCAGGGATCTTTTTGCGCTGTCCAGACAAATTTAATGAAGAGAGCGAGCACAGTATCAGTGAACTTAACAACACAAACAAAGCACCACTGCTAGATGACGAGGCAAATACTGCATAGTTTGTTTATTGCAGCCTATCTTGCATAGAGGTTCAAACTCTTTGCGTTTCATTTGACACTTGGACGCATATACCCGTGTCCTACATCAGTACGCAAGTTTGAGTAACACTGGTTCCTGCTATAATTCTCATAGAAACTGGCGTACACGTTCCTGCAATTGTATATAGTCTCTTTTGTGAGTAATTGTTAGGAATATCTTTTTGTCAGCTTACATCTCTCACGTCTAAATTTTGTAGGCGTTCAATTCCTTCATTTTCAGCAGTATAGGATCTTTGTGTTAGCTTTTCTTGAACAGCTAGTTGCATGTATAGTTTATCATGTAGTAGGATTCAAGAATTACTATGGTTCATGATACTAAAGTTACCCAGAATCGTGCTTATCCGAGATATCAAGCAATTGGAAATCTTTTTGGCTTTTATATGCTAAATTTGCTATGTGACAGGAATCTATATGTATTTGGATGACTTTCTTCTGTGGTTTTGTTCTTTCTTTTTTTAGAAGTAAAGAATGAAAATGTTACCCAAAATGATCAATTAGGTTTTGTGATTTGTGAATTAAACCGATGAACCTGATTAATCCTCTGAAATTCCAAAATCTTTTATTTTCAATCTTTAATAAGATGGTTCAATATTGTTCAATACATCTAATTACCCAAATCAAATCTTTAATAACATTTTATTACCATATGAATTTATTTAAGTCTCTATCCATTGAATTAATTAAAGTCTCTATCCATTAATTCACGAGCACTGTCATGTTTAATTGAAGCTCAAGGGTCGTTGATGAGCTTAAAGTGTGTCGAAAATGGCTAAACAAAATTTGTTGTCTCGATTTTTTAGGATCCAAGTGAGGTTAGGGAATAGGAATCGACAATTCGTAGGATAATGTTATCACCAATTCAGCCTCACAACAAACCCAGAAAAACCAACTTATTAGAAGGAAAAGAACAAAATCAATTGAATTCTCTGAATTGAACTGGGTTACCCAAAATGATCAATTACATAAATCATGCATATAACCATGCATTCTTTTTAGTATAGTACTGCATCTTTCTAACAGTCCAGAAATTAGACATATTTATATATATATGAGCTGCACAATTGCAAAAAGTTGAGGCAAAGCTAAACATGCTAATTTTATTGCATGCCATTTACATCTGATAAGGCATTGAGAAGAATGATATACTATCCTAACTCCTCGTGGACCTTACTGCACACGGTCCACCAAAACTTACACCGGATAAGTTAGAAGGTTTAGCGCTCTTATGATCAAAATATATCCAGTGTTGCTGAATTTCCATCGACAGTCTGAAATCAGCACGGGTTAGACTTACCAGAGCCGATAAAAAAGTGTCTGCTGGTCTCATTTCTGACTTCCAAGGGCAATTACTACGTAGGAGGAAAGAATCTGTTGAGATTGAACGGCAATGTGTAAAATTCTTCATTCCTGTTATCTCCCCTAAAACTTCTAAACTTCACCCACCACGGCATTCCTCTATCTTTCTTCGATCTTTCTACTTCTAGTGTGTTGTCCAGGAACACTGATATGATCAAGCTCACTGTCGGTGATGATATGAAAATGGTTGTCACAAATGCATTGAACTGCCAAAAAAAAAAGAGTCCAACTTCAGAAAATGAAAGGATTTCGTATAAACAAAATGTTATTGTGAGCCTATAGCAAATGGCAGGTGAGTGTGAGTTCTAACTTTTTAACTTTTGAAAAAAAGTAGTAAAAAAAAACTAGCTAAAGTCCATGCTGTATAAGTGAACTCACCCATCCTGCATTAGTCCGAACAAGTCCATGATCTAATCGATAATCATCGAAAAGTTGAGGTATAGATATCCCGAGAAAAAGAGAGAGCCCAATAATAATAAGATTCCTCATAGAGTTCATATTTGTGAATTGTAGAAATGATAATCCGACTGAAGCTGCATACGAAAAGAGTTCAGTTAAGTTTACTAATTTGAGGGCATGAAAAACTTACAGATGAAGTTGAGGAACATACCCACAAGGCCAAAGAGAACACAGTATAGCGCAGAAAATATAGGGAATGGTATGGATGCAAAAACAGCACCAAATTTTCCTGCCACAAATATAATTCATTATATTATGTAAAGCGGGGCTGGTTTGGCAATAGTATGTAAAACTAATATTTACAGGAAAATAGTCAACAAAATATAGCACCAACCTAAAGTAGAGAAAAATATCATAAAACCAGCTGAAATTTGAACAACTCTCCGACTTCCTACTCGTGTAAGCCCTAGCAATCCGACATTTTCCCTGAAATGATGCAGAATAGGTTGCTTTAGCATGAGGGAGAGTAAAACAAGTCAAGGCGACTAGACCATCATGGTACATTGGTACTTACACAGAGACAGAAGATCCAGTGCCCGTTCCAAAGAGACCATCCAGCAAAACTCCGATCCCCTATGAGAAGATAAAAGAACAAATATTGTCATGCAAGAGACACCACAAACAGGTGTACACGTGGGAGTCCTGATTCCTGACCTAGCACCTAGTATTATTTCACATATTGACATAGATCAAGTAATCCACAAAACTGGCTTTCAGCTTGCTTTAGCAGTTTGGCTACAAACAACGAGTAATTCTTATAAAGCCACAATCATGATTCTCAAAGACAATAAAAAGTTCACAACGATAAATCAATTAGTAATTTACCTGCCATCCTATGCCCCGACTCAAAACATAAGCTGGAGGAGGGGTAGCAATTGCAAGTCTGGATGCTGCCTTATAAGCAGCAGTTGACTGCAAAATTTACAAATACCAAACAAGAAAAAAGAATCGTATCACTGATAAGCCTAAAATAAAGGTACATACATGAAAAACAAATTAAACTGTTCTCTTCAAGAATTTTTGTTCTTAAGACACATTTTCAAAGAATGGATGCAAATTTAGCTAATTATGGCAAGGAAAGAATGGGAAAGAGGGTCCGATACAAGGTCAGTTACCTCAATCATCGAAACTAAAACAGATGCCATCATAGCTATGGAATGGCCAGCTGCAAAAGTAGGAGGGCCCCATTGCAAAGGATATGGGAATTTGAACCTGTATTAAGTTTAATCATAATAACATTTAGTTAAGCCAAAATTTTTCACCTCCTCAAGATGCACATAACTGCAATAAGTTTCGTTAGGGATTACCATGGGGCAGTTGATATAAGATTTGCCCTATCTGTACGACAACTGTTCTGAGTATGTCCTGGCTTATGTCTGTAAGCCCCAGCTGCTGTCAGGATAACAGCATAAAGCCATACAATAGAGACACAAATAATGACAGGAAATCTCTCGAATATAGGGACATCTTTCAGAGGTCTGATATGCTTCAGATACTACAATGAACAAAACCAGAATACCATTTATTAAGATTTCTTAGAGAAAACCAGTACAAGTTCATTTAACAGGTTACTCACTTGAGACAGTCCAATCACGAGCAATAGCATTGGTAGCCCAATTTCTACACAGTTCCCTAGCTGAAATGAAAAAGGAGCTTGAAAAACTTAGCTTTAAAATCCAGAGAAGGAAAAGAAAATGTATGTTACTTGGACAATCCCACATAGGTATGGACACTTGACACTTTAATCTGGACCGAGTATAAGAATGATTTTACATAAGCTAATATGATAATTGGTATTATGGGTGCCTGAGTTTGAATAACATATAAAGTAAGAGAATCATTCTAAGGGGAGTTCAATGCATCAGATATCAGGTCCATTAAAAAAAAAAAAAAACTGTTTGGTCAAAAGTATTTATCAAGGTCTAGATTAACCATAAGCTACGTGTAAATCATCTCCTTAGTCCATTTGGTACCCACCGCAGGAAATCCTCTGTGAAACAATCCTAAGCCGACCAATCCAACAACTGGTGCCATGCCAAGAGGACTGAAGAATCTGTATAAACACGCAAATGTACACAATCAGCACAAGATCGCCAACTAATAAGAGAAGAATGTCACTTAAATACTAAGATAGTCAGTTGATTCAGAAGAACCAATACATACCGTGAAAAGAGTCCCCATAGTTGGCTGTAACCTAGAATAATCTGTATACTAGAGGAGACAATAAGAGCTCCTTGAATAGCCCTCATAGTTTGAATAAATCTCTGTAAAAAGAAGAGAAAAAAAAGGGTAAAAAGTGGCATTTTGACTAAAAAGTTCAACATCATGCAGAGAACATTCAATTACAGATACTCAACTGAAAATCAATGCAAAATCCAGATGCATAAGTGCATCGATTCTATTCCAATTAGAAACCTTGCTAAACCAAAGAAAGGACAAAGCTAGGAAGTGCTATGGCCAAACAAAGGGAAGGATGAACTTACATCATGATTATCCGGAATGCGCTGCAGTGATGAGTCATTTATTATGTATGCTACAGGAATAAGGTAAGCAAAGGATCCTCCAACTACAGCAGGTAGCCTGGTCCCAAACAATGCTTGTAAAAGGGTGTTGATCCCTGCCACAAATAGGAGAGTTTGTATGACCCGTGCCTTGTCACCCTGGTCATGTTAACAAGATATCACAGTGTGCAGAAGGCATAGTAGACTTACAATTACCACAATCAGATAGCTCAAGAGACGTAAATAGAAGTTCAGCATGGTCTAATCTCTTGAAAGACATTAATCTTGATATTCTTAAACAATGGAAAAATCCTACATATTATTTTCTCTAGGAGATGGTAAACAATCTTTAAGGTGGTTTCCTATAGTTGCGTTATCTTTCCCTACCCTTGTCTTGAACATGAAAGTATGGTTTTCATCTCTCTTGATCCCATTGAAGATACTCCCTCCATGTTACAATGTCCTTGTTGACACAAATTTAAAAGAAAAAATGGAAAAGAACCAATAAAGTAGCTTTTAATAGACCAGTACGTGCATTTATTCTACAGAAAACATTTTGGGGTCAAAAGGACACATGAGAACATAACCAATCTTACAGCTTTCAATTGTTATTTTACCCAAAAATGTAACTTGTAAATCAATATTGGAGAAATTAGGGACTTGGTAAAAAGGGCTTACATCAGATCCACCCATTGCAGGGACTATCAATGTAGGAATCATCACACTTGTACCAAGCATCAAAATGTAGTTCTGGAACGCTAGAAGTATGGTTTCGACTGCAATATTGCTTCCAGTTATTAACAGATAGAGGACGCTAATAGATCTACCAACCATACATATAATATGGAAAAAAAAAACAAAATACGAAGATAGATTTTTCTTTTATGTATGTAGATTTATATAATCATTAAACTACCATACTTGAAGTGTTTATTTCTACAGGGTGTAGTGGTCAATATACTGATCAACGGGAAGATATCCTTAAGAAGCTGTTTTATAATGGTTTCCAATTATGACCATAAGTCCATAACCACATCCAAGATTTAAAACCCACGCTCACACTCTATCTTATATGAAATTTATTGTTTTGAGGACTCGATTTTTAATTAGATTAACACTCTTATCGAATTTTCTTGGTTTTTCATACAGTAATATGTACAATTTCTTTCCATATTAGTGATGCTTCTTATTTTTAGACTCCTCTAAATCTCATAATTGAACTTCAACTTGAACTTGTACTTCACTTATCAGCCAACTCATCACAAAAAGGCAGTACTCAAAATTTCATCAATAAGCAACATTGTTTAATCCATTTTCATCCCTTTCTCGTGACAAAACAAACTCCTTAATCTCGGTGAACGAAAAATCACTCAATCACACAACAATCATTCAAAGTTTCAAACTTCGATGCGATTGCTCTCATAATATAAACAACCTACCATAGTAATTTAAAGAGCAATACAATGGATACATTAATGTCATTAGTAAGGAAGCACATTGCCAATAATAAATCATATATCCTCACAAATACAATAGAAAATCAACATCGTTAACCCATTATAATAAGTAAGTCATAGATTGTTTATAAATTCGATCAGAAAACTATATAAAATTACCTAAACACCGCAAAATTAGGAAAATTCTTTCAATACTAACAAACAAATTAACATAAAACAAATAGAGAATAAAAGTTGCAAAAATTCAAACTACTTTGTACTTGATAATTAACAAATGTGGTTCTTTGAAAAGTGACACACCCTAATATTAATAGAAACAAACAGATAACTGAGAGCAAGACTATGACATTTTGACTAAAAACACCTATTAATACCAAAATTAACTTGAACTTTCAAAAACCTAATAAATACAATTAAATTTCATTCCATTTCCACAATTTTTGGACCACCTGAAACAAACACTTTAACTTTCATAATAAATGTGGCAGATATTAAGGTAAACCAATAATTAACTATATAAAACAAGTATATAACCAAATTCAAATTACAATAAAACTCAAAAAATAAATAAAGAAATTGAAAAAAATGAAAATTAAAATGAACCCTTTTCATTTTTCGAAAAACCCATGAAAAAAAAAACCAAAAAAGAAAGAACCTTTTAGAAGATTCTGAATTGCGGTGGGACATTAATAATGAGCAAATAAGGATTATGTATATAATTAATAAAGTTATTAAGTAATAATTACAAAAATTTAATGACTAAAATTGAATTAAAAGTGAGTAATACAGTACCCCAAGGAGGATTAGAGTCTATGCAATATTCAAGGTCTTGAAGTTGTTCCATGGGAGGATGACTAATGTCCGCCATTGTTAAAGAGCTTAAAAAAAAGCAGAACAGAACAGAGTTCCCCTGTTTTTAGAGAGAGAAACAACAAAAATGAAGAGAGAGAAAGTAGAGAAGTGTGAAAGAGAAGAGAGAATATAAATTTTTTTGATGAAGAAGAATTAAAGTGGAAAATTGTATTTAACAGATAGAAAGGTGGCTATACTATAGAAGAAGAAAGAATGAGAAATAATAAAATTTTATTAAATAAATAAAAGAAAGAAAATAAAAAATTAGAAAGTTAGAGAGAGAAAGAGAAAGAAAAGTGGAGAAAATTTATTCTTTGGATTTTGGGTTTGGTTGCTCTTTCTGCGCGAATTTCCAGTGATAAATAAACTCAAAAAATTTAACATCTGTTTTTTTTTTCAATTTTTGTCATGGAATATTAAGTTTTGAACTTGAGGAACCTATTTTGGGAGTTTACAAAAATAACCTCTATGGTATACATAATACAACTACGATAGCAACTTGGTGAGTAAAGGAAGTGATCGGTTGTATCATGTGCATGATATAAACTACAATCATTGTTTCTACGGAGTAAGGTGTAGTATAGTGTTAGAAAAAGAAAATGAGAAAAATTAACATGCCGCATTGGTTATACAACAAAAGGTAGTGGAGGTCATGTGATGATTCAAGTATAATGAGGCTCAAACGCTCAATGTACAATCCTTGATGTTGGTGAACAATTGACTAATGTAAAAAATATTCTACTATTAGGAGCTAAAAAGCACAAAAAACACTAAAGGGTTATTATCAAGTGTCCATAAGTATTAAAATATTTTCAAATTTATGAATTTTGTAGATGTCAACTAGCTTATTTAGCTTAATATCTTTTATAATATCTTAAGATGCTACCTAATATTAGAGATAGAATATTGTATTTTATTATTGTACGCTCAAATTACAACTCTTTCTACACCAAAACTCTATTTATTATTAAATTAACATGTTACCCTATACATATTTATTCATAATAAGTCGTTAAATCCGGATTGTCTAGATTAGTACATCAATATAAGAATATATAAGGTTTATCCTTCTTCTTGATTTAGAAATCTCTCAAAATAACATTCTAATTTCATCCATAATGTAACCATTGATGGAAATAATCTTGTTGGATTTTAATTTTTAAATATGCTAGTCGTAATTATTTATTTAAATTGTTTTAAATTAGTTAAGAAAATTATAATTTTTGAATTTGAAAATTTAACGTAACTTAATACTATGAAAAGGCATTTTGTTAACAGCAATATTGAGCTTAACTCAGGTCAAAACTAAGTACTAGAATTAGATAGACTATAAGTAGATTAGTACAAAAATACGAAGTACTTACATAAATTTGTCAGCATTTGGAAAATATTTATGATAATAACTCAAAAACAAAACTCATGATTTTTAGTATGAAGAAGTGGGGTCCAGAAAAGGTCAGGAAGTCAGGAGTATTATTCAAAAACGGTCAATAACATCATCAGAATTCACAGGCTTGTGTTGTGGAGTCAATATGTTCTCATTTTTTTATACGGTTGACTGTTTTTTTATTTTATTTTAGTTTTGTAACATTTTTAATCATAGTAAATCTATGTTGTCGATCAACGCCCCATGAATCATCATAATTTTGTAAAGAGGAGAGAAAATTCAGTAGCTTTCATAAGTCCAGAGATCTCGAGTTACAGGCTTACAGCCTTATTGAATATAGCTTAAGGGAGATATCGAGTTTGAGCCTTAACGAATATAGTTTAAGGGAGCTTAACGAATATAGTTTAAGGGAGATCACCAAATGCAGAAAATTCTTATTGGAAAACTCACCCACCATAAATTATATGTGTGACTTAAGTCAGATCCAGATGTAGTTGTTTAGCTCCGGTGAATTAGGTGGGGTTTTATCATATATTTGTCATTCTATTTCAATGTCTTGTTATTGACTTCTCTACCTAGAATCTAACTCCGGAGTTTTAGACTTTTAGAATTTAGAAGATCTTATATACTCTCTTCGTCTCGCAATAATTTTACAGTATTGTAGGATATTTTGATTAGTAGGAGTATGATTATTTAGGAGGTTACGAGAGAATGTAAAATTGTTAATGAATTGAGAGAAGAAGTATAAGAGAATAGTTTATGTGATAGAATATTAGGAGGAGGTTGCATATGACCCTAAGATTAAAATACGAAAAAAAAAAAAAAAAAAAAAAAAAAAGTGTGAATGCAGCTACCAAAGGGATACCTTAAGTAATGTCTTGTGGAATAATATTGTTTTACAAAATTCAAGTCTATTTACTCCAATTATCTTCATTATCCCTAACATATTAGGGCCCAATGGCCATAATTTCTCCAAATCTTGTTTAGTGATGTAATTGGTCTGCTCGTGTAGGCAATCTAGCCAAAGTCTCATCTAATAAAAATTAGGGTTGGTAATCAGATCAGGTTGGGTCAAGTCGGGTTCAAGTCGACCTATTTAAATAAATGGGTCAACACCCCTAAATCTAAACCTGGCCTGTTTATATAAACAGTTCAAAAATTCTAACTCAACCCAATCTGTTTATAAAGGGGTTGACTTGAACCCGACCTATTTAACCTTTTTTTTTTTAAAGCGTGTTTATGAGTCTTAAAAGTTAAAATCAAACAAAATCATTATTTACCCAACTCGAATTAACACATTATAACCGTTAATATTCTTAAAAAATTGAATCATTTAAAACGTATTTACAATCACAATCAAATACTTGTACTATTCATTTAGTATTACAATTTTCAACACAAAATAACTTTTGCAGAAACCAATAATCAATATTCCATTGATTCTTCTTTTCATGGGTAACTTCATGGTAATGCAATATCAAATTAAGAATAAACCCTCACCTCACCTCATCTACTACCTTATTTAGGGTTTAGGTCCCGTTTACTTCGCCTTATTTTTGCTGAGTTGGAATTATTTTTACTGAACTGAAATTAATTTTGTTGAACTGAAATTAATTTTACTGAATTGAAATTATTTTTACTGATTTCTTATTATATTTCTTCTTTAAAATTACTAATTTTTACTGAATTGAAATTAAGTTTGCTGAACTGGACTTATTTTTACTGAACAGATATTATTTTTACTAAATATTACTTTCTTTGTTCCACAAATATTGCAACAAGGATGAAATTACGCATCCAAAGCACATTTTATATGTTGAATATCTATAATTATATAAGAGTAAAAATTATAAAAAGTTGATATTGTGAAAGTACTTTACAAGACGAATTTAACAAAACCCCACATGACTATATTTTACTTTACGTATAAATCATTATATGAGGTCAAACAAGCGTGATGAATAGTGTAAAAGTTCAATTATTGCTATAATACTAGAACGAAGAAAGTATTTTTAAGGTGAAATGAACAGAGCCTTAGATTATACTTATATGACTATTTATTGCATTGGGCTTGGCCCAAAAAAATTGAATTTGCTAATGGGTTAAACGGGTTATGGTAGGGTATTTGACCCAAATTAGTTAAACGGGTTAGGCGGGTTATTTTCGGGTTGGGATTTCCAACCCAAACCTGACCTGTTATTTTCAGGTCGGGTTTGGGTTGATCCAATTACATAAACGGGTTGAAAATTTTAATCAAAACCCATTTATTTCGGGTTGGGTCAGCTTTTGTCAGCCCTAATAAAAATACATTTCTTGTTGTTAGTCTGTTACCACAAACTCTTTTAACTCAAACTAATTTTTCAGCAAAACTAATCATTAGATAAGTACTCCGTATATGGAATAAAACTAGATTGCGGCTCGGGCGATGCCCCGAGTATTGAAATTACCTTAAGTTTAAATACTTGTAGATATTAGTTATTACCATGTATATAAATACTTAATTGGTATTGATTCTAGGAAAATAGCATCCAAAGAAACACCCATTAGTATGTGATTGATTTCTTCAAATTAAATTGTAGTTTAATGTGCAATTATTTAGAAGTTACATTATACGGGAAAATGAAATACGAAGGTTACACAAATGAAGAGTTTAGAGTGATGATATATAGGGTGACACATAATGATGATGTGACGTCAAATCACATTGAGGGAACGATAACATGACGATATCATGTTATCCCTTTGTGTTTTAATAATATTATAGATATACTTATGCTGCGTATAATATTTATATAAAAAAAAAATCACTATTTTGTTATATTGTGACAATTTTAAGGATTTATTTATTTTTTTAAAACAAAGTACGGAGTAACTAAACTAAAGGACCCCGTCAAAAAAAAGAAAGAAAAACTAAACTAAAGGACAAAGCAACGAGTCTTTTAAAAATTGCACGATATTAATAGACAAGAACCTAGTGAATTTAGTCTTTTAAAATTAATTAATCAGACCCATGTAATGCTTTATGCTTTGAGGTTGATTTATGCGAACAACAATAAACAATGTTAAACATTAATTCTTGACAGTCGTAACGATGCTACTGACAGTATTTTTGTTCCTCACTGCTGTCTTCTAGGAATAATCATTTTCAAATGGGCAAAATACTTAAGCCTGTTTGATCTCCCCTTTTTATTATTCTTATGAAAGAAGCCCATTGTTTTTGGCCCAAATCAAACATTTGAAAAGATGAATGGCCCATGGTTGCAAACTTGAGTAAATAAGCCCAAGCCCAAACTGTGTGTGTTTTTTTATTTTTTTTTTTTTTTTTGGGGGGGGTTGGGAATTGGGATGATAGATTGATAGATTCTAACTAATTTTAGGTATTAATTAAAAATAAATAAAATTATACTCTTAAGTCTCAAAGTAATTTCCCACACCTCTTTAAATAGAATTTTATACAAGTGAAAAAGTGAGTGGACAAATATAATACCCTAAACCTGGGCACGGGCCGGGTTGGCCCGCGTGCCGCCCGGCACGGCCCGTCGTTCGGCGCAGCCCGGCACGGCCCGAAGTCAAGCACGACACGGCACGAAGTTCAACTCCCGTGCCACGGACAGGGTTGAGAATTCCCAGGCACGGCCAGGCACGAGCACGGGCATGGCCCGCCGTGCTGGCCCGCAGGCACGGCCCGCGGGCCAACGGTAATGTTACCGTTTCATCTAGCTCTAATAAGCCAAAAAAACGGCTATAAAACGGCTAGTTTTTTGCCAATTTGCTCCCCAAAAATTCTATAAATACTCACCTCCATTTCATTCCCAAATCACAAAATCACAATCTCTTCTTCTTATCTCTTATATTCACTAAATCTCTAATAATCCTTATTTTCTTAAATTCTCTAATTATTCTCTTAAATTCTCTAATTATTTTCCTAATATCGGAAAAAATTAAAAAGTTCGTAATCGTAATTAGTGGAGCGTTGAAGCACGG